GTCGACAGCGTTCTACCTCATTCTCGATGTCGCTGTCGGCGGCACCAACGGTTGGTTCCCAGATGGCGCTGGCGACAAGCCGTGGCTGAACGGGGCGAACGGTGCGCGCTCTGAGCCCCTTGGACATACTTGGAAATAACTAATCACCGCCATCCAGATGCGATGCAGCTTTTCGCTCAGGCACAGGACAAATGGTCTCAAACATGGCCAACGAGTGAGGAAGACCGCGCGTTGAAGATGTATGTTTTTTCCTTTCGTATGTCAATCACGCTGACGCTGGCGGATAGCGATTACGTGAAAATGTGGGAACTCTGTTGATGGCTCCCTTCATAGGGCTACAGCAACCCTCTTACAGAGACACGGACTTGATGCCTACGGATTTTAGGCCATGCCTTTTTGGTTCTTCAAAGACCCACGATATCTCTACCACTCTCACCGTACATCAGTATACGTCTACCGCACCAATTCAGTTGTTCCAGCTGTCAAATGTTACGCGTTACGACTCTTCTGTTAAGAACAGGATTCGTTTCCATCAATCATGACGGGGCATCAACGGTGAGACGTGACAGGTCAATTTAGTCATCCTGGAAAACAGAACGAGATGCTGCACAACCGTAGACGCTTGTTCCCGTTCCCGGTCCTCATGTCCAGGGCAGCATAGTCCCGACGCAGTTTAAGCTGTCAAAGTCAGAGCTTCCATTATGCGGGGGACAACAAAGGACGTTCATGATGATTCAAGGGTCCGACATGAGCCTTCCATCGTTATCGAAAGTTGTGTCGAACTGCGTACGCCACACCTTTACGGGGTGCAGCTCAGATTGACCGGAGGGCGAAGAAGGGGTGACCGTTTCAGTTGTCTCACCGTGATCACCAAACAACCGAAAAATGGCCTTTCCGCTCCTGGAAAACAAAGCCGAGTCAGAGGATTCACGAGTTTGACCCTCTGTGAGCCAATATTTGGACGCAATGCTCGGCAAGAAAACCCAAGCGACCCTTTACCTTGCGTGCACCTGTCCCATCAACTTTGAACGATATACCTCGGTATGAACACGAAAGAACAATCAATCCACGAAGGAATCGTCCCCTTTCCCTTGCGCTACACGAGTTCCTCGCATTTCTTGCGCAGCCGCAAGGAACTGGAGGCCGCCCTCCGAACAAGCTTATCGCGCTCACGAATCATCACATCGTCCAAGCCCTCTGGAAGTCCGCATGGCTCAGCTGCCCGATCTGTCAAATGTAACATCACCAAACGGGTACATCGGGCGCAACAGAAATGCCGCAACGGCGAAAGAGATATGAGAGGTGGGGGGTCGCAGATTCGATAATGCGAAAAAAAAAAAAAAAAAAAATTTGGCGACGGCTTTAAGGGGACGTCGTCGCATCGTATCGCATGTCACCGGTTTACTGTCGATCTTCCGAGTCCACAAGGTGGACGTCTCGAGAAGAGGAATGACAGGAGAGGCTACAAGGACGATGCGGGCCTCGGCGGTACAGCGGTCAGCGTACGAATCGGAAGCAGTCTGCCCTCCGGCCGCCCACAACGGGGGGTGGGAGAGGGGGTGAAGGGAGGAAACTCTTTACTATCCGGTTTCAATTTTGCTATCATCGACAACACCAGATTCTCGATGAATGCCCATTGTCGCCAATGGCGACTCTTCAGAGTCCCCTTTACGAGAGAGCGAATTGGTCGAGGAAGATGAAGAGTGTGGCCACGTACCCTCAGATTGCGTGGATCAACGATGGCTACTGACACGTGACCGCGTGAACTTCAGAAGGTGACCGTTATGCGAACAGCAACCTTTCGTTCGTCGTACACCGTAACAGTCCACTCCGTCAACATCGACGGGGCCGCACAGAAATTCAAGGGAAACTCACATGACAGACAGGTCATTCATTCCTCTTACATCGTCCACGTCCTCGTGGGCGCTATGGGCGCGCTTGTAACTTGGCTGCTGCGACAACCTTCCCTCGCGCTCCCACCGTGTATCATTGACCTGTTTTAAACGGGCGACGCAGCTGCCCGAATGATACGTTCACACTTCCAAGGCGCTATTTTCGACCTGCGACTCTCAAAAGTGCATCGTGGCCTGGCTTCTTGATGAACGACCCGGTCCCCGAGATTACTTTGCTATCGCTGCTTGCAATCCCCCCCCCCCCCCCCCCCTTCCACCCGATCGCGGCCGGGCATTCGCTTTCCAAAATCACGTCTTGACCCCCGTTCCATTTCAAATAAGCGCATGCGGTCACAGATCCCTCTCGCGTCCTTGAACGGCAGCAGCCAGGTCTTTCTCGTATATAGGACTTCAGAATCGAGAACAAGCCCTTCCACCCCCATCCATTTCAGCAAAGGTGACCCGTCCTCCCGGCGGCGTGGAGCGTTATGGCACCCTCGTTCTCTCGCACGTTTTATGCGAATGCGCACCCGAAGCCAAGATCGTTGTTCGTTGTCCCTGACGCGTGCATCCTTGCCGTGGGCTGCGGTTCACTTTGCGCTTCGGGCTCGTTAAAGATAGTGAGGTAAGGGAAGGAAGATTCGTCATTTGGCATAGAGGGGCCCTATGATAGAAGACGGAGGCATCCTCAGTGCCTTGGATGCATATCAGTTAAGCGCTGTCACCGGTGCTGCAAACTTGCGCTTGACGCCGTCCGATCCACTGCGCGCCCTTCACTCGTCGGGCCTGTTAGAGCAGCATCCACATGCGACCCGATCATTATGCACAAGACACGCGTTGGATTACGTCTATGGACCCTGTCTGTACCCCGGCGCCGGAGACACCAGCTGATTACAATTAGCGCGATCCACGACTGTAGTGCTGCATGGATTGAGTAAAGTGAGGGGTCTCCACCCATCCTATCATCTACATTCGCGAGAACATGATGTCCGCACAACTAGCGTGGAGATCTATTCAGACCCTGAGTAAGCAACTAAATGAAGCCTCCACGTTCACGCTCAGTTCGTTCCGATCGAGGTACGCTTTGTACCCCAATGAAATGAAGAGGCCATGCCAGAAACATCGTTGTGGCCGGGGCAGAGAAGCATTCAATTGCGGTCTTAACGAGGGCACATTAAAGGCGCGAGTGTTTGGTGCATTTCCCCCGGGACTGGCCGAGAGCTGGATATTGCTCGTTATTATAGGTCCTTGGTATTCCCCCGTGGGCGCTCTTGATCGGTGTCCCAGTCCCATAAGTACGATGACCTTCTACGAGAATCAGGCTTTCAGTCAAAGTATGGAAGGAAGGATGCGTGTCTGGTTTACGAGAGCGGATCCTGGGAAGAATCGTCCTCAGGAAAGCAACGCCACCCCTGTTGCCCTATACCGCTGGCGAGGCGAGACATGCGGCGGCGCCAGGGAGACCAGACAACGTTTTCGTGCGAATGGGTGCAAATGGGGTCATACAAATGCCCGCGAGATCCGCGGGATGACTTTACAACGTACACGACGTGGGTATGAGAATGCTACAGTCACCAGGCACCGACTCCTGGATGGAAGGTGGCCGCTATCCTAGATGTTTTCCATGTCAACGGTGTCTGTGGATGGGCCTTTGAGGGTGATGCATGCCCAGTGGTAAATAATAATAATTTCTTTTGGGAGAAATTGTCACAGCAAGTCGCTGATAATAGATAAAGGAAACGTTACTTAATAGAACATAATAAGAGATTAGAATTCTTTTTCGATACGATACGAAACGCGATTTCTTATTCCGGCCTTTTAACAAACACTGTGGGGTAGGATATTCTACACCCAGTATCGACGCCCGTTCCCTTATGCGTTCCCATTTCTGCTCGCTTTTGATCAGTATCTGAATCCAATATACAAACATACTTCTCAATGAACAAGAAGAGTGGGAAACCGCGCCTTGTCTGTCACATGTTCGTAGTCGGGGCAGGCAGGACTGCCATGCCAGAGGTAGCACTATAAAGAAAACGAGACGAGAGAAAACGAAAAGAGAAAAACACATACAGCTCAACGCGCGAAAATCGCACACGCGGGAAGCACAGATGTGTGCCATCAAGGTTTCCTGTGTGAAAATTGGTCCGTCACGCGTGGAGGGAGGTTGAAGAAACTGAGGAGAGGGAAGAAGGGATTGGAGAAAAATCCAAATGAAACATAGTGAGGAAAGAACGGGAAAAAAACGGAGGGAAACCGCACGCACGCAAGGGAAAAAGAAGGCCAGAGGGAATTAACAAGTCATCACAGACAGAATCAACTTGGAGAGTCTTGTCTTGTGGAATGGGACAATGGGCTGTTGTTCTTAGGGGAAGGGAGAGGGGAAAGAGAACGAAAAATGCGCGCTGGTAAAGCCCCGATCACACGACAACTCGTGTCACACTGAGCCACTTGAGGCTGAGCTTGACAACTGTATCATTGCCATGGTCCTGGCTGTTCCGTCTCTGTGGAGAAGGGTTTGAAAAAGCGAGTAAAGCAAGATGAAGAAAGGAAAAAAAAAAAAAAAAGGAAATGCGCACCGAGTTTGTATGACGACCACTGAATGTTGTTCTCGCAAACGTGCCGTCGTCACGGCCATGGGCATGTCGCCGTTACAGGAGCTAGATCGACACAGTAACCATGGGCCCTGCTCACGATTTGTGGCCATCGCGATGTCACCATGGTCGTGCCTGAGTCATCACCACTGCATTGACACGGGAGGAGAGGGGAAGGGGGGCCAGTGGGTGGAGGCAGCTTGGAGAAAAGATTCGCCGACAGGGGACCGCTTGGAAGAAGGGTGATGGGAGGGAGAGGAGAGAGAGGATGAGAGCCCACGAAAATGAAAACGAAAAAAAGTGCACACGCATGGACGGCTGTTACTGTTATTGTGGCCCTGAGGGCAAAACCGTTGCCATTGTATTGTTGGGGAAGGACTGAGGCAGCCAGGCGGGAAAGAGGCAAGAAAAAAAAAGTAAGAGAACACGTGTACGCGCTGCACATTTCACTAAGATTGCCGGAAATGCTAGTTATCAAATGACGAAACAAATATATTTGCAAGTACATAGCAATATATCCGTTATGGTGCAACGGCTAGCATACCTCGCTTTCATGATTGAGTGCCGAGGAGGCCGGGGTTCGACTCCCCGTAACGGAATAATTTTTTGGCAGTAAACAGTCACAACCCAATTGGATGGATGATGGATGACGTGCGCGTGAATTCCAAAAAAGGCCGTAATTACTGTGTGTTATGTTAAATGCTGTGGATATCGCTGTGACCACGACATGACGACGGTGAGTGGGTTCAACAATATGATGAATGAACTCAATGTTTTGAGTGACTTGACAGTGTCACTTGTAAAAGCGCCGAGTTTTTAAACTCTTTTTGAGCGCCCAAAGCTTCCATTCGAAATGTCTTCGCAAAGAGTAGACGCCACAAGAGGTGCCCCGACCTCAACATATTGAATCTCAATGCCAGTAAAAATTCATATTCCTCAATGGGCAAGCACAAGGTCTCATCTTCTTGCCTTGCAGTATTTCTGCATTCATTAATTCCTGGAATGGCTTGATTTCCCGTCTCCAGGGCTATGGCATCGCAGCTTCCAGGCATTCATGACACGACATAACCATCATTTAACTCCTGAGTCCTCTTTTTTGGAATCTCACCACACAATGACTTTACCATGAAAGAAGGGGTATCTGAAGCAACACCATACGACTCCCAGACGCTGCGAAGCAATTGATTAGACCTCGACCTAACACACTAGTACCTGGTGTCACCACGCTTTGCCTTGGAGCTCATGCTCCAGTCCTTCAATACTGCACCTCATAATGTTATAACACATGTACTTTTTGTGCAGCATAGAGTGCAGCTAACAGGCCAAGCAACCCACCTCAGAGGTTGTGCTAATGCTCAAGTGATATTGGGGTGTAGACTCTACACTGTAGAGCAATATGTATACTCATCTCATCAGTAAAGATGGATTTTAGTTTCTGTTGGTTTCTCACCTCAGGAAACTGAAAAAAACCAGTGGAAACTGGAAAACTGGGAGACTGGGAAACCCATGTCTGGTTTCCTGGAAACAACCTGAGAGTATCTTTCATGGAAACCTAGGAAACTAACAGAAACCTGTCGAAAGTATGGAAACTGGTAGAACTATAGTATAGTAGGAAAAAAATCACTGAAAATGGTCAGAAATAGGGTATACATCATTTCTACTTGTAATTGGAAGTCAATTTGAGCTGGTACGGATCTAAGCCTTGAGGGGACTCTCAGGTATATACAGATCAGCATGGAATGCAGATATCATTGAGGCATTAGCGCGATGAAGGGATTCATTGTCACCATCATTGTCTGCACATTCCAGTGCAAGGTGCCAGTGTTGCTCACTCAGATGGTTGATGTGACCATAGAAAACTTGAATTGTTTTCCAGTGTGCTTCATGATATCTACCAGGTTTCCCAGTTTCTGGGTTTTTGGTTTCCGGAAACTGGGAAACCAGCGGAAACCAATGAAAACCCAGGATTTTTTTTTGTGGTTTGCTGATGCTATGTGTACTATCACCTATGGGGAACTCGCCATTCCACTACCATCTCGCCGATTTCATTTTCCCCTGTATCTGCTCAAACAACCCCATTAAAAACTTTGTAGTTATACTATTGAGTGCCATTAATGTCATTCTAGCAAAGAAAAATGGAGGTCCATTGAGTGGTTTTCAAGTAGTATTTTGGCTGGGGGTCACACCTGCATCACGCCTTCTGTCATGGTGGAGTGCAGAGTTTGATTCCAGCTGGGTGATCACTGTATCCTGACTCAGAGGAGTCTGGTCACCACTGCTGTTTTATCCTCTTAATGCCATGTTACAGGTGGTCCAATTGGCCAGCACAAGACCATATGTATGAGCAGCAGCTACAGGCAGCTATAACAATGATATATATTGATCTTTTACTTATACTCATGCAGCACTGGCCCATGATGTGAGCACCACATTCCGTACATAGCAAGTCCTGGATTTCATTCAATAATGCTACTCCATTACAACTGTTTTCCCTAGTCCCCAATAAATACATTCATCCTGGGCAAACTTTAATTTGGCATGTGTTAAATGTCTGTTCCTTTCATGACATTTGTGACTGGTGAGATGGTAGTGGAATGGCAAGTTCCCCATAGGTGATAGTATGGTATTTATACCTCTATGACCTAGGGCTGTTCCTAAGACCAAAAGAGGTGACTACAGGTGTTTACTATATTGCACACTCAGTGACACATGATGTTGAAACATTCTAGACACAGCATAAGACTGCATCTTGTGATTGATAGTGTAGTATGCATAACCTGCCAGTCCCATATGCATATAGACTAAAGTTCTATCTAACGCATAATATCTATGAGCAGATCTAGAACCTTGTATGAAGGTCTTTGCCTTCTTTGATCTGTTTGGGTTCTGGTTCAACAGTACTTCTCTCCACCATTAGCAGGCTCATTGGTGAACAATTTAACTCGTTCACGAATAGCGAGACACGTGACCGTGATGATGAGTGGCAGTGGCAACACAACCAAATTATTTGTGTCATGCTAGCTAGCAGCCCTCCCCGCTCATGCTCATGTTCGTCAGTGCTCCATAGTACAGGGTTCCATGCCCTTCACACCCCCTTGATCTCTCCAAAGCCCGAGCTCCGTTTGCTCAGCTCAGTCATGCATACGCCCTACTACCTCCACCCAAGCTATGGTTCACGGCAAGGGGTTGCACCTGGATGACCCGCCCCCGTTCGAGCCTCTCCCAGACAACCCATTCAGCTGCCAGAGCCAGATTGTCTGGCATGACGCCTACGTGCGCTGCACCTGGCTCTTCTTCTGGGCGGTCGGCCACCAATCCCCACCTGGTGCTGTATGACATGTGCTCGCGGGTGCTCGGACACCTCGTCCTTGAGGCGCCCACTGATACCGCATGTCCAGCAGGGCGTAAAGGAAAGAACTGGGTATGGTAAATTTTTGAACCTTCCAGTCATGTGTGGTAGCTACTTATCTCTTCCTCCCACACGTCGATACTTCCCTTCTGTTCCCTCTGATTCTCGCAAGTTCCAACTCTCGAATGTACTACTAAGTTCTCGGTACCCTCACAGGTATATAAACCATACGAAGGTCTCACTAAGAGGCCAAGTCGAATCTCCTGTCTAGTTACCACACAATTGATTCCTTTCTTCTCATTAACTGCCTGACTACCAGTTAACTCTACCATCAAACGCTCAACAGATCTAATCAATCATTGTCTGACCCGATGGCAGTGACATTAGATTCGACTTGCTTTCATCATGGCTTTGTCATACAGGGAACAAGTTTACCTGCCAGAGCAGAATAGGCTCACTGTACCGTTCAATACACGAATGTATTGGGTTGGACCCAAAGAGAACAAACAAACACTAGGCTGTTACATCACTCATCCATCAGGAGGACGAGTATTCGACGATCTCACAGTACCAGTCTACTATGGAGCAGACACTTGGTACGAAATATTCCCAGACGAAAGCGGCAGGCACTACCTCAGAGAAGAATGAGAGGATTTGAATCGCTACAACCTCGACACACAAGACAATCTTGACGAAACGAAAGCTGGAGAAAATACAGACGATAAGCATTCAGAACCAGCTAGCACAGAAACTATTGAAGAAGAAACCAATACTGCATGAGACATATGCAACATGCCCATCCCCAATGACCTCAGACCAGACACTGTCAGATCAAACGACGACGACACCCTCACCCCCACTGTATTCTTTCCTGCCAACCTTCCCTTATCAGCACTTCCCCATCAGAGAGCAAACACTATGGCCATAGTCACAGCCACTACCACAACCACTCAACCAACAACAACTGTTGCAACCACAGCGTCAACCGTTGCTGCAACATCAACCACAGCTGGGAGAGCAAATGCCACCATGCCAAACAATACATACCAAGCTCTTAGAAACACTTTGCAATGAAGTGGAGGCCATCCTTCAGGATCTGGAGGACCAGGAGGACCAAGTGGTCCAGGTGGCCCAGGAGGCCCTGGATAATATGGTCCGAATGCTAACTTACCTCAGATCCCAATACCACAACCGGAACCAGGCAATACCAAGACCCTCGGAAGTCTTGCTGTTCCATTTGAAGGTGACCAAACCAAGGCAGACTTGTTTATTCGAGAACTGACTGATTACCTCCATGCCAATCGAACCATCATAGGCATGAACTCCCCCATCTGACAAGTCGTGCTGGCCTTAACCCTTATAAAAGGGCCAGAGACCGACAATTGGGCCAGAAGCATTGGGACCTGGATCAACACCCTCGGTCCACAAGATGACATACCAGCAGTATGGGAGCAATTCCTACATGAATTTCAACAACAATTCCAAGACACCGGAAAGGCTCAATGCGCAGCCGGAAAGATCTCAGATCTGCGGCTTAGGAACAATGAAGTTGATCAATACATAGCAGTGTTTGAAATGCTTGCTCGTGAAGCTGGTTACCAGCTTGGAGAAGATTCTGTGACCCATCTCTTTATGAGGGGACTACCACAGAACATCCTTGCCACCATATTGACCTTGCAGAACCTGAACTCCTATGACGACATCAAACAACATAGTCAAAATAGTCAAAGGAAAACAATTGCTGGCCAATCTGTTGGGACAAAACAACACCTTCAGATGCACACCCTTTGTCCCAAGAGGAGGGTTCCCCTACCATGGGAACTAACAATATCAACAACAAAATACCTACAATCCAGGAGGACATGGAGCATTCCAATCATTTCATTCCAACAGGGATACAATTCGTCGAATGCCCCTAGGTCTATGGCTAACCAACAGGTACCCATGGACATCAACAGAATGCAAGCACCCCCATTCTGAAACCAATGAATTTCAGAGGACAAGTCACGCAACTTGGCAACAATAACAACTGTTGCCAAAACAACAACAACTGTTTCGAGTGTGGCCAAATAGGCCACTTCATGCGCGACTGCCCGCGACACAAGCAGAATATTAACCTCATTGACTGGGACGACACATCTACCATGGTAGAAACACCCCACCCCACTCACACTCGCTCGTCTTCTTCCCCTGAAGATCAAATTGCAGCTGCAAGGGCCACATTAGAAGCACCATCAGACCAAGATAAAG